TCTGAAAAATGCTTGTCTTCACACCACAAGTTGTTCAGCTGGAAGATCCCATAGTCACTACTGCCATCTGCATTTTTTTTTCATTGAAGGCCTGTGTATTGAAGTTACTCTCATATTCAGTCAAGCAGACTGAATATGAGAGAGAGCAAAGGGTGTCAACAGGAAAGGGAGAGTGGTCCATCATGAAAAGTCATTGGATCAGCCATGGGAAAGAGGAAATTACTTGTGCTGTACTAGCACTGCCAAAATCAAAAGTCTGTTTTTAAGACTGATAGGAAAAAACTGTGAGACCCTCAATGTCAGAAGTCATTCATGATCCACTATGTATTCACAGCCCTAAGCAATAATTAACCTATAGTAAGAGTACAAAACCAATTAATTAAGCAAATACATTTGAAATGATTAGTAATCAATTGATTGATCAACCAATCACAGTCTTTCCCAGTCTACCTTTCCAGCTTCATCTCTCAGCCAAATATCTACTCTTGTTTTGTACATTCACTTTTGTTCAATGTTCCAAGGTATAGGCAAGAGAAAAGGTGGAAAGGTGTGGAGGAGAATCCTAGGGAGGACTACAGAAAAGCTATCCTTGGTGTTGACAAGAAAGACAAGGTTTGGCATGCAGAGAATGAAGAAAAATATTCAAGGGCAACTGAAATAATTTCTTTCATTCTCATTAGTGAAATGGATGACTAAGATCCTCAGTCCTTCTTGCACTCTGGACATTGCCTTAACTTTATTCTCATCATCAACAGGGACACAAGTGGGCGACCCATAGACAAACTTAGCAAATGTAGGTTAGTTTTTGGCCAATAAATGGGCAGTGAGAGGGTGGCTCTTCACTGTGTTCAAGAGACATAGACTAAGTGTTCCAGAGATACAGACAAAGAAGAATGCAGGGCTAGGGGTGTATGTAGGTCAGTGGCAGAGTGTTTACCTGGCATGTCTGAGGTCCCTGGGTCTGATTCCCAGGACACACATATGTACACGTACACACACACACACACACACACACACACACACACA